AACTACATAGAACACTTTTATAAAATTTATATCTGTGTACTGGAAAACTTTCCACTACAGAAAATAAAAAAGTAAAAGGCAAATCAAGCGACTTTAAAAACAATTTCGATTGATACCCATATGCAATGAATCATTTAACTTCTAAAATAATTTGCATATAATTTTCTAACAGCTGGTAACCGTATAAAAAAACTTTAGCACATCAGCTGGCCAAGTCCTTTAATTTGCCATCTAATTTTTTTGAAAATCGAACGAACAGCACCTACAGATCTGATGACGTATGTTAAATATTTAACGAAAATATCTCCCCACTCTCGATTAAGAAGAGTTTCATTTCAAAAAATTCTCTCCCCATGAACTGGGGCACCCTAATCTTGTGAAATTTCCAAAGCACGGCATGTACGCTTTAACACATTCAGAGCCAGTTAGCTTTGATGGTCGGAACAGTTCCACTTCTTTAGTCGCGCAAGATGTCATGTTGCCACAGTTTACAATTGGCACATTTGCAATTCAACAGCGCTCAACGCCATCAGTACCAATGCCATGAAAATCAGCATCAAACGGACGATCTATTTACATACGGGTACGAAAGGGTGACGGCGACGCTTTCAGGCGGGTCTAGCTGTGTACTCTTGCAGTGTGATAGATAGAAGCCGCATTGAATTTGCATATTTGATATTAGTGTGTGCAGCGCACAAATATTTATAGGGCGTGCGGTGTTCATTACGAGACACTCACACTTACAATTACACAACCCCCCCCACACACACACACACGTAACAAACACACACACACATACAGACTCGCGCTTAGCAATTCATGAATTCCTTTCGAATTCATTGTGCAACTACGAGTAATATGACATTGCCACAAGCATCCTTGCTATCATTGCCTTCAACACTATGTATGTAGCGCAACGACACCTAGCGCGCCGCGCCACAACTAGCACGTTCGCATGTCTCGCGCCACTCAACATAAAGGCTGCAAGCAACGCTTTAGTAAATGATTTTCCTTTTGAATTTTTCATATGGCAAATGAGTGGTTGTGGTTGGCTGTTTGGGGCATGCTGCTCAGAATACTAGCAGGTGATTGTGGTCTTATTTATATTCAATGCCTTTTAATTGCGTTGCCCAATGTTGAATTTGTTATTGTAATAACTAATTGCCAATGCAGTGGTAATCGTTGTTTGGCAGTGATTCGATAAAACAAAAGAAATAAAGCCACCATAACGGATTCATAACAATTTATGGCATTCATTTGTTATTTTCAATTTTCGTCTTTGTTATCGTTGCGTGAAAGGTGTAAGGCGAATTGGTTTTCATTAGGTCAAAAAGATGCAAATTTCATGCTGGTATTTTAGTATCAAGAAAAGGTGTTGATAATTTATTCAATTCATCGTTGACATTCATAAATTGGAGCGTTTAACCCGTTAACTATGTCAGATGCGAGGTAACTGGTACCTAAGTGCGATTGCTAAAGTATTCGTAGGGGAATGTACTAGGTATTTTTCTAGAATTAAGCCCTTATATGTAGGATATCAAAAGAAATCGGCTAACTGCCGGTTTCTTAATTCTATAGATATTAAAATTCAACTGCCCTTCAAACACATTTTTTCAGAACAAAATTTGTGTTTCAAGCCAAGATAAATTTTAATACCTAATTGAGAAAACGGCCCTTAGAAAATTGTATAATTCAACTACGGGTTAAGAAGTAAAACTTTGAAGTGTAAGTGGATTAATTCCTTACTAAATTCACTAATCGATAGCACAATATTCACAAAGAGCTGAAAGCAAACCATTTGTTAGAAAAGTATTTTCCTTTAAAAACTCTCTTGAGTGTATTTGCGTAAAACTTGCTATTGGAAGATCAGATTGGCGAAGGTACAAAGAGTAATTTGCATAGAATTGCAAACATATCGCTTACCTGAGGCGATTTTGCAGGCAACTTTTAGTTGAAAGCATGGTATGCATTTATTTGCACTGAAATCTTCAATTCTACATGTTTTATACAACAAAAGCTAAGGCAAGCGGGGCTTTTGCCATCAAAAGCGGATCTCGTCCAGAGAAGCGTTCAATTTTGGCTGAATGCTCAATCTGATTAATAGATTTGCGAGTCATAAACCTCTACACCTTCCCTCTATTTTCATTTGACTTTTTTAAATATCCTTTTATAAAGTAAGCACTTTTAAACGCACAAATTGATGTAAATCTTCCAGTGAAACTGTCTTATGAATTTCAGTATATATGTATATAACAATTTAAAGTAATGCTTGACCACACATGTATTAAATTGGTCATAAATCAGATTGGCCAATTATATATATCCGCACTAGTCGAAAAATTCATTTAAATTACTTGCAACAAAACCAATTTTTTTAGAAATTTATTATTTATCCCATGACTCTTCGATTTGGAGGTCGGTTGAAAAAATTCTCACCCCTACGCCACAATACATCTTTGAGCCGTGCGTAAAAATGGATACTTCGAAGCGTTCAGTAAAAATAGGATCCTTCCACTCCTTTTTGGATAGAAAAATCGTGCCAAAGTTATTTCTAAAAGAGAGGCGAAGGACAAATGTAGTCAGATTTTTCGCGAATGCTTGGATACTTCGAAGCGTTCAGTAAAAATAGGATCCTTCCACTCCTTTTTGGATAGAAAAATCGTGCCAAAGTTATTTCTAAAGGAGAGGCGAAGGACAAATGTAGTCAGATTTTTCGCGAATGCTTGGGTCGTTGAAAGAGTACAGGATATATCCATGCCCGCACGTATTACGTGATTTCCGCAGTCAAAGTTCCCTCAATGTCAGGGTACTTGCCTTAATAAAGAGATCAATCGGTGGCAAATGACAAATGACATTCAATGCTTCCGTTGGATATGATCTGATCGCCTCAGTAATCGCAACACAGGCTGAACTTTGTACCCTGCCTAACATTGTGTGTATGTATGTAGTTCATCTTTACGGCTTTCCACCAAACCAGCGAACAGCATGCAATATTTGGGCGAATCACCGCCTTGTACATCCATAGCCTAAGATCAGATCGTAGGCACCCACCTCTTACGCAGCATTTACTTGCAGGAATACAGAGCACCATAACCCTTTTTACCTCGCTTTTATACTCTTTATTTAGGTTAGTTTGATAATTTGCTATGAATTTGCGTAATCACT